ATTTGCAAGGGGGGGAAGAAGTCTGCGAATTCATCACATGGTCACATTGGGATTGAGCCGTCTAGCTTAATTGAAACCTGGACTCCATAATTGAGACCATCCTGCTTTCATGATACAAAGTACTTCGCAAGGGTCCCTAGCTTAGGTGAGGGGATTGGGTTGCCATTCACGGAGATTCCGAGAAAATAGGAAGAATGCACTGCACGATGCCCGAGGACGTGCTGGTCGAATATTTCAAACTGGATAGAATGGGCAATCCAAAGGGGACCCTGGACCTGTTTGTATGGAGGGATAGGTCAGACCTTGTTCGGATTCGGATCCCATGTGAGGGAGCGGAGACTTTTGTCTGCCAGCCACACACCAGCATTAGGGACCTGGCCCCTGATCCACAAAAATAAGGGGGGGGGGCAGCAGGGAGACAAACCAGTCCCCCCCGTCTTCTCTCCTTGCACAGTCTGCCGGTTAAGTCTACCTATAAACTTCTCGGACCAAAGCGCTCACTTAAGGACACAGTTATTGACAAATGGACCAGGCATCTGAACGTGGAATGTCAGCTCCTGTTACCGATCCCTTAGTTTCAGGAACACAAATCGAGGTCAGCCAAGATAACCTCACTGCAGTGGCAAATCGCCCATTGTTGCCTTCCCACTCTTGACTGGCTGGTGGATCACACAGAGCTGGAACGGAAAGGCCAGGCACTATCATGATGTCAACGGTGCCTGCAAACCGTCCCTTCGAATAAGAGAGTTGTGAACATTGAGCACGTCCTTTTATGCAGTGCCCCAACGCGCCACTAACATCGTGGTGGTGGGACATGATATATAGAAGGATGGTCCTAGATACGCCCTGACCCTGGTAATAGGCTGGTATTGGTGTGTGACGTTCAACATCACGCCCTGTGCTGTCTTCCGGTCGGAGTGATAAATTATGCAGAACAGGCCTTGAAAGAGAAGCAAAATGGGGTGTGCCAAGGATTTTTGGGGAAATTGAGTGTGGGAACACAGACGAAACAACAACGATTTCGTCAAAACGGACATTTTATATTTTTTGAACGAAATTGAAATTGTCATTTTTGAGCTGATTTAGGTGCAAAAACCATTACAAAGAGATGTTTGGTGTATGGGGTACGGGGTAAGGTGTAAGGTGTAAGGTATAAGGTGTAAGGGGTGAGGGGTAAGGTGTAAGGGGTAAGGTGTAAGGGGCAAGGTGTGAGGTGAACGGGGTAAGGTGTAAGGGGTGAGGTGTAAGGGATATGTGGTAAATTGCAAGGGTCAAGTGACACAGCGTATCAAGTAATATTTGGCACCTCATATACATTGTTTTTGTCACAAACCATCTTGTGGCATCCGCCCCCCCTCCAAATCATATTACGGATTATCATATACACACCACTCACGAGCCAATGTGTCCAAAGCCATTCGATGACATATCGCGGGTATATCATCAACAGTGAAAAAGAAAGGTGGAAGTTGGCCCCGTGCCAACAGTGATGCGTACGTTAGCACAAAGACCCCGCACTCGTTCGTGTCGTATTGCTTCGGAATGCCCTCTACATTCCATATGTGATTGAATGGTTTCGTGTCCACCTCTTTGCCTTGTGATTTCGATCTTTCGAATATAAACTTTGCAAACCCGCCGGTCACCTTTCTCGCCAACTCCATGTCGGGGTCGAGGGAGTCCTAAAATTCGAATTTCCTCCTCCTGAAGTCAGCCACGACAAGGGTCCAGTGGTTCTTATGTCCGATATGGAAAGGAGCAATAATCAAGTCTATGTCACTTATGATAACATCCTGATACCAGCGCTCTACCTCTCGGCCTCTATATCTCATTTAATTGTCGAAAAGTTTGACGAACAAAAATGAGCTCAGCACCGATACTCTAGGAATGCGACCCTTTCCTTCTTTAATAACTATCTCATTCTCCGCGTCGCATTCTACGTGTTGTATTCTACACCAGTTGTCCAATGCTATGAGATTGAGGTAAAAGTTGATGACATTGTCGTTTAACCACTGACGTTCTACAGCGAGTAAAAGAAAATCGTTGCGAGTGAGTTGCAACACCTCGTTCATGTATACGTCGTGTGTGGTGGCTATGGGATACCTCTTCCCGTATTCGCGGATGATACGCGTCAAGGCTGCCTTCTCCCTCTTTGATAAAGACGAAGTTGCGAGATGCATTGTCCATCATTTTTTGCACAATCTTGTATCAATTGTTGTCATTTGCACTGCACACCACAAACATGAGGAATACGACATTCACGCTGGCGGATGGGGAAAGGATGGTGAGTGCATGGCCAAATGCTTTGTGGGAGCTAATGCAAGCAACGCATGTTTTCAATGTTTCTCTAATCTTTTACTTGCTCTACCACATTCACGTATATAATCAATCATTTATTCCTCACACCTTGGCCACCCATGCGACTCGTACCTCAATCTTTTCTTCTGCAGTATTTTACTTATTTGTTTCCAGCCGAGTTCAAACTCAGGTCTGTATTTCAATAGGGCAGGGTCGCTCCTCTATGTTTACCCCAAAAACCCGAAACGAAACGGAAAAGAATGTGCCTGCCCGGGCCGAGGTCCCACTACCAATGAGGATTAGGCGCCTAACTGTAGATGTGTTTTGACAAGAGGTGCAAAAAAACAGATCAATAACTTTTATGCTTTTCCCACCATCACATTCAGATTCAAGCGTGAAGTTAAATCCTCGTCTGTAATGAATCTCACTGTCGCTCCGGTAACGCTTGCAACTCTCGACTACTATTTTTTTGAAAGGGCGATCACGTTCAGATATCATCATTGAACTGATCGGCCTCAGGTCATTCAGAATTATTTTGTTCCAGTCATCTGATTGTGTCTACGCTAAAACATAGGTCTGTATTTATTTCAACAGTTACACGGACTGAGGGCATACTCACACTAGCACGCATTTTCATAAAATTATAAACTGTAGGTGATTTTTTGGGTCACAAGTGTTACACTGTCGAGCGCATCGGCTCCCGCATTTTTCCCAAAGGCGAGAGCCCTCTTGACCATGTCACTCAGGAGTTTAACGGAAAAAAAAAACAAGAGACAACTTGGGGATGACTCATAAATAATCCCGCAGACCGCCAAGACGGTCCCGGTTGCGACGTCTCTTCGCGATTCTAGCCGGGTGCGCCAACTATACATCCCGCGGTCCCCTACGACAAGATAGGTTCCCGTCGGGCGTAAGCTTCCCTTCCCTAAGGGGTTGTCACTGCCCTTAGGGGCGTATCTCTACCGAGCTACCGACCCACGTGCGAAAGCCTTAAGACGCAGTCGCAGAGGTAGGTCAGCCGAGGGCATTTGTTCGTTCGCTGTACTATAGATACGCTTGGTTAACGTCAATTGGACCCAAATGTCGTTCGTTCCTATGACGCTGATCTCCTAGGTACAGAGTAGACGTCGGTCGATTAGGATGGTCTCAACCAAGTGTGAAACCCAACATTAATCCTAGTCCCTTTAGACACAGGTCAAATAAAAGTGACAACAATCATATATATAATTATATCAAAAGGATCGACCGTGGTCGATAGGCAAGTGTATTCAAACTGAAATGATAACTGAGAGAATCCGAATCATCATCTCATATATCCAATAATACAAGATCAAAAAAACAATCAGACCGCCTCAGGTCGAATACCACAAAACAATCAAACAACCGCCAACAAGGAGTTGGCAATCAAAAACAACCTTGAGGCAACCGATAAGGTAGTCGGAATGCCTTAGTTTTCACTTGATGAGACGCGTTGTCAAAGTCATTCATTCCAGTCCCCCGCTGACCTAAGATTCGACACACATACCTGTCTTCATATATTTTCAATCTTTTTTGATGACAGGCTGCTTTGCGAATGATTCTTGAGTCGGAAAAAAAGAGAGAGAGAGAGAGAGAGAGAGAGAGAGAGAGAGAGAGAGAGAGAGAGAGAGAGAGAGAGAGAGAGAGAGAGAGAGAGAGAGAGA